CATCACGATGAAGTTCATCCAAGGCAGAGGCGGTGATATTTATATCAAGGGAATGAAAGTCCTATACACCCTTCAGTTTCTAAAGTAACCAGGCCCGCCTCGGCTTGATATCATTGGGAAAGAATTACGTCGTATCTAGGGACTTACTGGAACGAACAGTGGTGGGTGGAAATGGCCCCGATCCCAGAGATCAGGAAACAGTTGTGCCCACGTATCATCACCGTAAAAGAGTAATTTGCCCTTTCCCGCAGCTTTAAGACGTGCCAGCCATGTGTCCCTCCTGTCAGGTCTACCAGGGCCATCATCTGCATTATTAAACACATCAAGAAAACTGGAGGCTGAGCCAATCGTCATAGCCATGACACAAGATCTTGTCAGACTAGGCGAGCCGGTTTTCACTGTGAACGGCATGGCGGCACCCAGGCGGATCAAACTTGAATGAGTTAGCCAATATAAGGGCTTGGGCTGGACATGTCGACGAATGCGTACTTCTGTGTAAATTCAAAGTTTGAATCGGGGCCATAGACAAAATCACTGCCAGGGATTTAACATGGGTCTCAGAGGTTGTCGTTGGTGCACGTTTCTAAATACCTTCGCAGTGCATCGACTATCATGAAGACCACTTTCTGGAAAGGTGCGACTTCGGATATCGCTCCATCATCTCCCAAGACTGCACTACCTGATGAGGGTGGTATGGGTCGAAATAGCCCTGCGGCGAATACAATGGTTGATACGAGAATGAAGGCATTTGAGAGGAGAAGAAGAGCTGTGCGGAAGTGCCCCATTGTACCGGGCTATCTCCCCAATGATAAAATGAGAGACTGAAGGGCTCGCGGCGCCGGAAGATTCATATGTGTTTTATTGTTAGTTGGCGTGGTTGAGAAGGCGATACATGGAGAGTGGCAGTTATCCATGATACGGATCTACCGCCCATACATGGAGACCAATTGTCCCAATGTGATCAACTCTCAATGAAGAAAATGAGCAAAACTTCGATGAGGTAATTAGAAGGGGCGATCAGTAGTAAAGGGTAAAAACCTTGCATACAGCGCTCGGACACACCCAGCTGGGGGATTGGTATTGTGGCTTATCTAGGGGTGAAGTAACTTTGGAATTATGATATGTCTTCCACCTTACGCAAAGCACCCGCATACGTATATGAAAATTCTTTCTTCGATGGCTTGATCCAGTGGAATGCTCAAACTAGGGGGCGGGGAGAATTGTGACCTATCCGAGGCTAGAGAAAAAAGGATGTTTATGGTGAGCCGAGGACATTACACTGGTACCATGATGATGTGCCTCTGGAAGAACCCACCTGTAGTCTAAAACGTCAGAATCGAAGGTGAATGAGGAGGATGGCGTTGGAAAACAACCCAAGGGATGTATCTGAGTGTACAAAAGCATATATTGACATTGTCAAGTAACCTGCGAACTCATACTGTCAAGCCCCAGATCCTTCCTCTTGAGACACCTAAGCGTAGATATGATCAATGCCGGAGAGAGAGAGAGAGGCCCTATTGCAAACCAGTTGCATTACTCTTCCTTTATAGAAGACGATGGACATCTTCTGGTCCATATCGAATCACTTCTTCTAATCTCCAGGTAGAAGGCACAGCTTTTCCACCCGTCGGTTTGGCCTGAGGACGTAGTCGACCAGGAAGACCACGGGAGAGCTTGAGCGTCAAAATATTGCCAATCTCGTTACAGGCCGTCAAGACCCTATTCAGATCCTCTAGATTATGTGCAGCAGACACGCAGAAACGAACGCGACACTGCCCAAGTGGAACGGCAGGATACGGAACGACGACAACCGAGATCCCACATTTCAGCATCATTCGTGAGAATGCGGTCATCTTTCCCGGGTTATAGAGAATCAATGGAATTACCGGGGAATCGTCATGGCCATAGACTATAAATCCCAGCCTCTTCAAACCTAAGCGAAGGTAATAGGCATTGAAAGCTAAGCGCTGTAGTCGCTCCTCCCCCTGACCTGGTACCAGCTCTCCGGTTATAATTCGAAGAGCAGCTGATATCTGTGCTAACATTGCTGGGGCGATTGCTTCACCGTATACCACGCCTGCATTCACAGCTTGCAACTTGTTCACGATGCCCCGATCCGCTGCAATGTAGCCTCCGATAGCTCCGAATGATTTGGTCAGGGTGCCCATCATAATATCTACTTCTTTCGTGTCAATGCCAAAGTAGTCACAGACTCCACGACCATGGGGACCAATTGCCCCGATAGAATGTGCTTCGTCCATGAAAAGGTAAAACTTATAACGATGCTTCAACTCAATGATGGCGGGAAGGTTGCAAAAGGTTCCCTCCATGGAATACATCCCTTCAACAACAACCAAGATCTTGTCCCACGGACGGTAGCCGATAGATGTCGGCTGGCCTTGGGAGATGGCCTGTCGGAGCCTTCTCTCTAAGGCCTTCATATCGTTGTGTTTAAATGCAACGATCGATGCACCAGAAAGGCGAGCACCAAATCGCAGCGAGGAGTGATTGAGCTCATCCGAGATGATCAAAGAGCCTCGGCCCACCAATGCTGGGAGGATGGTCGCGTTGGTGCCGAACCCAGCTGAGAAAACCATTGCCGCATCCTTGTGGACGAAATCGGCCACCAGCCGTTCAACCTCGACATGGAGGTCAAGGCTTCCCACTTCTGCCCGCGTGCTACTGGCGCTGATGCCATACGTGCGAATCGCCTCTTCGGCCCTGTCCGCGCAGGGCCCCTCGGACTGAGCGAAACCAAGATAGTTGTAGGAGCTGAGGTTTAGTGTCTGGGTGGTTGTGCCGGTGAAATGGAAGGTTCGATTATGGTCACTTGTTTCTCGGTCAATCAGAGTGATGTACCGTCCAGGAACACCTGTTGTGGGACGATCAAGACAATCAGCTAGTCTCACTTTCATTCGTCGTGTATAGACACTCTCTCCGGCGGTAAACCACGGCGCGTATCCATTCCACGGCCTTAGATGACGATAGTGTTTCTCACGAAAGTAACGGCCAAAAATGTCGCGGATGGTACCGATGATATGGATAACCATGTAACTTAGATATGTTGTGATGATATAGAAATATGGAGGTTGTTCAACAATTGGGTCGCTCCAGAGCCGAGCGGTATGGTGACTCGAATACCGGTGGCTGGCATGACTGATGGGACCAAATTGCGTGTGCTGCTTGACCTGAGGATGCTCCTGATTGTCATACCACGTGGGTTTCCAATGATCCATAGTGCGCTGCTGGCTCAAAGACACGAACACGTTCTAATGAACGAAATATATAATCGTGCAAAAGAGGGAAACTCGAGGCAATCTGCAGAATCGGTTGAAATTTGTATCCATCCTCGATAGATCACATACTCATGCAGCCTTCTGAATCATGACTATGTCGAATAGGGAAGCCCCCTTGCTTGATGATCTTTTTAAAATTCATAATCCAAGCACAACCTGCGCCTGAATCGGCTCCTACGTCCTCCCTCAATCCCAAACCACTACAATGACCGATTCTCCAAGCGATCTGACAGGTGGCTGCCATCCCCTGATAGATGGATACAACACGCCGTATGGCTATCTACCTACATTTGCGCCAGGTGCAGCATTCTGCGTATTGTTCGGCCTCTCAGCAGGCATTCATATGGTACAGGCAATATGGAAACGAACTTGGTGGACACTGCTCTTGACAGTGGGTTGTATCGGTAGGTGTGGGACTAACTCTAGGGGAAGCAATCCTACTTGACTTGGCTAACCCTGTATATAACTATAGCTGAGGTTTTGGGATGGGCTGCTCGTATCTGGTCAACTCAATGCCCCTACAATTTGAATGCATTTCTCATGCAATTCTCAACTCTCATCATCGGTAAGCAATGTCACTCCCGATACAAAACATATCAAAAAATAACAAGAACACATTCAGCTCCCACATTCTTTAGCGCTGCAATTTATATTTTCCTCGGATGTTTCGTGCGCATCGTGGGACGGGCCTCCTCATATCTTGGCCCCAAATCCTATCTATGGACATTTGGTATCTGCGACATTATTTCCATCGTCATCCAAGGGGTAGGTGGCGGGATCGCCTCTGCGGATTCAAAAAAGATCGATGGTAATCTCGACAATGGGTCTCATATTATGCTAGCGGGGGTAGTCTTCCAGTTGTTCTCCATGGCAATATTCATGATATGCGCATGCGATGTCTTCTATCGGGTTTATTGCCACGACTTACCCGTGCCTAGCGGATCAGCCAACCTCTGGCTTGGAGTGTTGGTATCTACTACAACTTGCATCTTTATTCGGTGTATTTACCGCACAGTGGAGCTGGGCCAGGGACCGGGAGGGTATCTTCTCCTACACGAGAGCTATCTGATCTCCTTTGATGCAGTAATGATGGTTCTCCTGGTGGCCATTTTTGCCATCTTCCATCCGGGCTGGCTCATATCGAAGAAGGGATTTATACCTCTCTGTGAGGTTCAGCTATTGAATAGGGAAAGCAGGTCGTGATAGCAGTAGCGAAGTACTAATTAGACATTTGTCTCTTGGAAAGGTATTTTTTTCTTTTTGATTTGACAGAAAAAAAAAATGAAATGAAAACAAAAATGAAATTGAAAATGAAAATGAAAATACACCCTCTCCCCATATAGCCTGGTCAAGCTAATTCTTGTGGCGCCGCTGGGTTGCCATTTAGTCTTTCAGATGTATCATAAATATTGGAAAAGGTTATGCAGACCATATTTCTTTGGGGAGCTGAAATTCCACATCACCAGTCTGTTCTCAAGTCTTCCAATCTAGTAAAGCTTATCAGCCCTGTTCGCCCTTAAAAAACAAAAGTTAGAGCAAGGGATACATATTGGTATGTCATTAGACCCCTTAACGTGCTTTTCTTTTGGAAGGCTCACCCATTGTCGATGTTTATCCCGTTCTCTGTGCGGCTCTACTCAGGAGAGCGAGCCTGCCGATTATTGAATCCGATCCAGTCGAATATTTGCGTCAGGACAAATCGCGATGGTGTTCATCAAAGATAAAGTAAGTCTGCGAGAGCTCATTGCCTCAAACCAGCTGGGTAAGTCAATCTCCAGCACGAGGAATAAGATGAGTTTGGTGACGATTACCTGCTAGCGTGCTCTGTCTTGGTCCTCACCACTCATATATTTGGCGATATGAATGGCTTCATTACAGTCATCCGATCTCCATATTTGTCGTGGGTATCTGGCCCAGTCGCCGTACAATCCCGTCATATACTAGCCGATTGGGAGTTCTTATTCCTGTTCTGCTTTCTTTTTACGTTTGCCCGCTCTGTCGTAGCCGTTCAAATCCTCCAACCGGCGCTGCGATATGTGGGGTTCGATGCCCAAGACTCCTCTCATCTGGCGGCCCTAGGGTGGAAAATACTATCCCGTGGCGTCCTGATGGTGTATGCCATGGTGGGTTGTAAATCTGAACCCAATAGTATTCCATGTCAAATGATTAATCTATTCTATGTAGGGCCTTTGGTACGAAAGCTCTGATCGTTTGAATCCTCAGTGGCTCTTTGACAACTGGCCGCTACACTCAATCTCTGAGTCAATGAAATATTTATTCCTGCTGCGCCTTGCATTCTATATCCATCAGTGTCTGATCATGGTTGTTGAGCCCATACGAAGTGACTTCACCTCGAAATTCCTCCATCATATTCTCACCTGTGCGGTGGTTATTGCCTGTTGCAATAGCCGGGCTTACTCCTTATTGTACATCATTCTCCTGACCGCTGATCTTGCAGATATCCTCCTAGCCGTAGGTGGAAACCAGACTGTCAGTATCACCAAGGATCATGTGCTAATAGAGTTGCTAGTTTGTTCAAATCCTAAAATGTCTGAACTATGAGAAGAGCCTCCGGCTGTCCCTACTGGGCTTCATTTTTATCTGGATATTTACACGGCATATAATGTTCTTATATTTCCACTGGGTGCTTCACCATGCTCTACCTCTGGAGGGAGGCTGCCAAGTCGTGATTACTGGGGGTATGATGCTCAATCCTGATGATCCAAAGTGGGAGCAAATCTCTCCCCAGACACAGCAAAACCGAAGCACGATATGCCTATCGCAGGGCGTCAAACTGTCCTTGTCTGGTATCTCAATTGTTTTGCAGTTGTTGTTCTTGATGTGGACTGTCGAATTTGTTCAAATTGCGGTGTACATGCATCGCAGATGTGTCTCGAAGTGTGAGGAGAATGATACCGAAAGGAAAAGGCAGTAGGCGAGTACGAGCGGCGACACAATATGGATGTCATTTGACACTCTCTCTGAAGATCCCTGTTGAAATATGTAATGTTCGAAATTCCTCGCGTATGTGCAGCTTCATTCTTGCCATGGCGGACATACTCTCGCATTCCTTTCTCATGTGAGGGGCCAAACCACGCTATCACTAGCAAGATTCGAGGCTCAATCCTCCGAAATGCACTGATAACGTACGCCACTTCTGTTGCACAACAAAACCAATGTATTCTGTAATGATCTTGCCTGCGTGTATAGAAGTAGAGAAGATTTGAAATCATTAGAGGTGTCACTCTGCAGATACTCTGTGTTGAATCCTGCTGTCGCTTCATATGGATTGACTTTCTTGGGTTGGTGTTTTGAATGCAAAAAGCAATCTCAGTAAATGGCGATCACATCCAAACTTCTAGGGCAGAATATGATGTGTCATGTCTCCTAATATCGGGTTTCATTGTCACCCTTACATGTATATAAGCTATGTGTGAAAGTCAAACACGGCGTGGCTTTTGCTCCTGCTCAAGGTATCGCCCCTGGTTCATGCTCTCTGAGCAGTATAAACCTTGCAGCTTCTTTCCACAAGCGTGTGCGTACAAATCTTCCGAATTTCTGTCTTTCTTTCTTTCTTTCTTTCTTCCTTTTCAATTTTTGGTTTAGTTTCTTATTATATCTATAGCATTTGTGGATTCTGATTTCCGATTACGTATCTGGGGTTTCATGCCTACTAAAATCTCCAACTTCATTACTTCAATGCCCAAACTAACAATATGTATCTCAATACTAATATCGATTCTCATTACGCAAAGCTCGCAGTCGGAAGTGCACTTTCGGGGTTTTCCTCTTAATATTGCACCAGCTATGCCGCCGGCTGCTTCTCCCTAAGCCGATTACCAACATTCCATACAATGTCGCAGCTTCCCAAAAGCTGCTTGGTGATCTCCCCGAGCTTAAAGATGAAATGGATCGAACCGGCGATATGAGGTCGTGGCTTTTGCAGCAGACAATCAAATTACAATCTCCTCTCATCCAACTATTTCTCGATCCCTTTAGCAAACCAATTCTCATTCTCAGCGACCCGCAAGAGGCACTGGACATTCTCCTCTACCGCAATCGAGACTTTGATCGCGCCCCGATGCTTTATGATATCTTCTCAGGCTTAGCCCCTACCCATCATATCGGCATGAAGACCGGACCGGAGTGGAGAAGGCATCGTGATTTGATCCAGCATTTGGTCACCCAGCCGTTTCTTCAGGACACAGCAGGGCCTGCAATCCATGCGTCTGCCTCCCGTCTGGTCAGGCTTTGGAGGGCCAAGGCGAGACTAGCCAAAGGTGCGGCATTCGCAGCTAAAAGAGATTTTCAATACATGATTATCGATGCCTTGATAGAGATTTGTTTCGGGAAGGACTTCCCCAACAATGGAGTCTCGTCTCAAATCGACCTTCTCGAAGCAGACCACACCCGAGCTCCCGATGTCAAACCTCAAACACCGATCACCTTTCCCGAGGCAAATCCTCATGAATTCATCTGTGCCCATGAGAAGATTACCGAGGGCATTGAGCATTGCGGAGGGTCTGTATATCCCCGACAAATGTGGTGGGTGATGTCCAAGCTACCTCGTCTGGCCAATGCCCTCCGCATAAAACGCAGAGTGACCAGAGAGCGCTTAAGAACGGCAGCCGCAACCATCGCGCAGAAGATGCCCTTGGCAGATAGCTCTGGGGCATGGTCGTCCGCAGAGTTCATGGCTCACTACGAGAACAAGCTGTCGCAGCAGGAATGTCGACAGCCAGAATACATTTCCCCTCCGATGGAAGATGAAGTATGTAGTATCTACAATCTTTTTTTTTACCCCTTCCAATCATATACTTATATATAACTGGTTGACTTTAGCTCTATGGATTTCTTTTCGCCGGGTCACATACCAATATCCTAACTCTAGCATGGGCGATAAAGATCGTCGCTGATAATCCCGTATCACAAAGTCGACTGCGGGACTCACTACGTGCTGGCTTCCCCGAAGCCGTGCTGGAAAACCGTGCCCCTAGTCCCTCCGAGATGACCTCTAGACAAATACCATATCTAAATGCGACTGTGGAGGAAATCCTGCGTATTTCTCCCGCCACCCTCCTAGTTGACCGGGTAGCGATTCGCGATACAGAACTTCTGGGGTACCATGTCCCGAAAGGAACATGCATCTGGACAATCCCAGCCGGCGCAGGATTCACCTCCCCAGCCCACCATATCGGCGAGGAGAAGCGCAATGCTTCCTCACGTTCCAACGCCAAACACAGCCGACGCTCTGCGTGGTCCGGGGATGATATTGCCCAGTTCATCCCCGAACGGTGGCTCCGGCCGTCCGCTGAGAAGCACGGCGAGCTGGTATTTGATCCCAGCGCCGGGCCGACCCTTGCCTTTGGGGCTGGTCCCCGGGGCTGCTTTGGGCGACCCCTGGCCTATCTGCAGTTGCGGATGACCATCGCCCTTTTCGTGTGGAATTTTGAGCTTCGGAAATGCCCGGACTCTTTGTCGAGCTATGATGCCGTCGATGGCCTTTTTCACAAGCCGAAGAGCTGCTATGTTTCTTTGCGAGAGCTATCGTAATGAATAGAACCTCCGGTCATGTAATGGCGGACAGCAGATGAACAATACATGTCACTGTATACGATTAAAATCAATGGAATATATAATTATCCAGGTAATTCAAGATTTCTATACTCTCTAAACTTATCGACTGACTATTTCAATGTATAGTAGGCTATATATATAAAAATTGAGGTAGATAGAACTTCAATAGGCTAAAAATATTGAGCTTTTCAAAAAGGCCATTTTGTATGCAATACCAAGCTGACCTGCCAAGTTACGTGACCCTGCTGCTGCCTTACCGAATAACGTGACTAACTCACCAGTTCGTAATTCTCGTACACGAAGCACCCTATCAAGTAAAGCCCGTCGTCGCCAAAGCCCTAACCAGGAGAAAATTTCCTAAAGCTAGTACCAAAAGAGGGGGTTTCCCTGCCCTAGCGTCCTCACACATCGATTGCCACCATATTTGAAGTTACCAGCTCAATACCACTCAATACTAGCAGACGAGAAACAAATACCCTAAGTATCCCGCATAGAACCCGATTAGTCTCTTTCCACGGCAGAGTCCCGAGCACGACACGGACAGATGTCCTGCCTGTACCCGGGGTCTAGACTTGGGGGCCTTTTGCTCTGACGTATGACTTTGCATTGTGGTACAGGGTTGTTCGTACTCCGTCGCGGGCCTGGTCCTGGTTGTGATGTGTCGTCCTGTCAAAGGGTACACACATTCACATTCATTTCCCTCTCCCGTTCCCGCTTATTTGGGGGTCTGGTTAGATAGAATGAGATGAGACTGGGGCCGGGCAACGGGGAGTATTATATCAGATGTGACATGTAGGGGCGGGCTTTGTACGAGGCTTATTCTGTGATGTTTTAGTTTATTCGATATCATTTATTATTCCTCTTCGTTTCGGATTCCCCCCCATCCATACCCTTAAAGCGGGGAGTGGTATGGATTCGGTGGTTTTCCATCTAATCTTCAGGGACCGATAACATAGGGCTAGGGAAGGAGGGACCAGATTCGGGCAACGATAGATTAATGAAATCCGGCCCAGCGTTCGGGCCTAGACTGGTGGAGTTCGCGGTGTCCACCGAACAACATCTGATTTTCTTACAAGGCATACATGCATGAGAGAGAGACCTCGATGACAGGATACATGCCGATGTCGAAGTGTTCCCCCCCCACTGTAGATATCGTAAGCTGCAGTCGAAAGTTCTGGTTTGAATTGCTATGAAACCATGCAGGGACACACAGACTCTCCCCTCTTTTTGTGTTACACAGTTTCGACACTCAACCCCTCCCGAAAAAGAAAAAGAAGGGGGGAAAAAAGGTACGACGGAGGCGTTGAGGAAATGTGATCTTGCCGGGTGGCGTCCGTACCTGAAAGAACCGAGTCGATTAAGTCCAGTGCACGGGTGGGGGATGAAGACTAACCAAGTCAACACGCCCCATTAGGGTTGCATCTTTTTTCTTTCCACTTTTCCATGCTACGCTGCATCGAGCGTAGAAAGAGAAGAGGTCTGGACTTCGGAGGACCCGATTGTATTCGCGAATGAGAGAAGAAAGAACCCCCTCAATTGCACAAAGCCGTTGGGAAAGACAGTGTAGTGCGTTGGCGGAAAAGCATCATATTGGCCAGCGCATTGACATCCACGTATCCAGCTAGAATGAGCCGTTCTTTTGTTTTTTTATTATTATCCATGACTTGCTGACAGGGTTGAGTCAATCTCTCTGCTCGCTTCTTTTCGCTTCAATTGTTCATCCTTGACCTAAGACAGTTGACGAATGAATGTCTCTGATGAATCTTTGTTTTTTGGGGGTTGGACATTTCAAGTTTGTCAGCCGAGTCCCCCCCCCCCCCCCCCCCGTCAGATTCAAAAGGTGGACAATCTCTTTTTAATTTATTATTATTTTTATTTAATTTTCTGTATTGAATTTCCTTCTCTCTAGTCTCTAAGGAGTCGACACGAGGGCAAAGCCACACCGGAAATAGGTGCCAGTTCAAGAGTGTGGCGGAGGCCAGGTACCATCGTCATTTCGGACGACGAGCGAGGCGCTGATCCCCCTGGAACCCAAAGGCAAAAAAATGGAAAGACTCCAGAGACGAGGAATGGAGGGACCGTAAGGGGCCAGAAAAATACCTAAACTCAATACCAAGCCTACGCTAAAGTGAGCTAGACGAGATTTAGTCGCGACACCATGTCTGAATGGGCATAGATTGTACACGCTGTAACACCGGCGCCAATCTTGCACCGCCAATCAGTCCAGTTTTCAAGCGGGTACCTGAATTCAATTCAATCAATCAATCACCAAACTTTTGATTCTCTTCGGATGCCTCGGACTGTTGCTGCTTTTGCACCACACGTCATCCGCTTGAGGCTGACAGGTCAAAGTTGCCGGTGAGCAATGGTGAGAATGCATGTGTAATGGTTCCTCGCACTTTTGATGTTTTATTTATTTATTTTTTTTCTTTCCGGATTTTCCAGATCAACGCAAGGGCAATGATCACAACATACATACTCCGAGTACTCCTAGTCCATGCCTTGGGAGGAGAAGGGCCCTTCTACATTGGGATACCTCTCGGGCCATCCCAATCACACAACCCAAAGTTAAGCCGATCCCAATCCAACGGTTGAGGTTCAGGGCGAGTGGAACCGAGTCATCAAAAGTGGGCGCAGTTGGAGCAAAGTGGTGAGGTGAGCCATGGCCGTAGTAAAATTTAATATTTGCTCCGTCCCATGGGTTCACGAGCTGTGCGGTGGGTCCGGGGCTTGGACAACCCGAGAGATCCACTTCCATCCGATGAACATGCAATTTATTCGCTGCGTTCCTGAACAGTCCCCGGCGCATGCCAATGATATCAAGAAGAACTGGAAAATCAATTAAATAAAAAATGTAAAAGTCAAAGTAAAAATGATAAATAAATAATTAAATTTATATCGAATTAGAAAAAAAAATAGACAAAGAAAAGAAACTAGTCTGGATGCTAGTCCTACTATACGAGACAAGTCCCTAGTACTACTAGGTAGTCGGACCTACCCGAGCAGGTCAGTCGCCATCCCATGCAACCTTGTTTAAATACTTGGACCTTCCCTCCCTTACCGGTTTCTCCCTTCTCTTCACCGATACTCACCACAGTCTTCTCTCTCTCAGACAGCTTTCTGTCGTTCCTTCCTTCTTCCTTCTACAACACTCTCATTCTTTCTGAGTGTTCATTCACTTCCCCAAGCTGCTGTGCAGTTGGTTAAATTGACTCATTCCTTCAATTGACTTCCCTCGGCTCGCCGATCACAACCTTCCTTGAAAAAACAAGATATTATACCTACAATGGCTCCTCTGGCTAAGACTCTCGCCCTCGCCGGCGCTCTTTTCGCTGCCGTCGCCTCGACCGCTCCGGTGCAGAGGCGTCAGGATGTTGTCGTGAACACCCACACTACGGTCGAATGGACTACCGTGACGGTCACCACGACCATCACCATGGACCGACCTACCCAGGCACCGGCTCAGCCCACTGCTGCCCCTGCGTCCTCGGCTCCCGTCGTGACTCCCCTGCCTGCTCAACCCACTGAGGTTCCTGACGAGCCCGAGCAGAGTGAGGCCCCCGAGCCCCAGCAATCTGCAACCATCCAGCCAGTGTGGTCTCCCGCCCCTGAGCCTACTACCTCTGCTACTCCCACCCCCGAGCCTACCCAACAGCCCGAGCCTACCCAACAGCCTGAGCCCACCACCACCAACGCTCCTCCGGTCGTGGTACCGACCTCGTCGAGCACTACCTCTGCTGCCCCTCAGCCTACCGCCAGCACCCCCAGCGGTGGCAGCGGATACACCGGCGCCTGCTCCCAGGGCTCCCCGTGCACGGGTCAGGTCACCTTCTACGACACTGCCACCTCTCAGCTTGCCCCCAGCAGCTGTGGATTCACCAACGACGGCACCACCGAGGATGTCCTGGCTCTTCCCGTCGGCCTGATGAAGCCGGAAGACTGCGGTCGCATGGTGACCGTTCACTACAATGGCAAGGTCGTATCCGGCAAGGTCGTCGACAAGTGCATGGGCTGTGACAGCACCTCTATTGACCTGTCGCGTCACTTCTTCAATTCCCTGGCTTCCGAGTCTGAGGGCCGCCTCCACAATGTTGAGTGGTACATGGAGTAAATGCGCTGAATGCTAGCTTCTTCTGCTGGTTCTTTGCTTGATTTTGTTGCTTCGCTTCTTCGACATCCATACCCCCACTTTTCACTTCTTCTTCTTACCCTTCTCTACACTCGTTTTCATACATATTTTACGCAATTTGCTCCACATGGAGTATTTGAGCTATGTCCATAGATATTCTCGGGTTATTTAACACCACATTTACATTCGACACAAGAAGCAGCACGCAGGACGCATCTGGTCCATGACATGATACCACGACACTGGGATTGGCGCATTGCAAATTAGATGGAATCGGGTATTCTATCTGGCGCGCATTAGGTAGCAATGGTTCGGGAACAATGATAAAAAAAAAAGGTTTCTTGCAAGTTCCACACAGGCGCCTGACATGTGTCCACCGTAGACTTCTTTTAACTAGTAAAACGAGTAGGGTGATACAGAAACCGGGTCAGTTAAATTTCTTTCTTACTATATACTCCGGGACATGTGCTGTGGTACTAGCCGATCATTTCCACATAAGGTTCCAAAGTCAATGCTTCCGAAGGTGGATCATTAGACACTCAACATTATATATACCAAGATATATCAACCAACGTCACACAGAGATTAAAAACCCCTTCCCCCGTCAACTTAAACCTTCTCGTAAAGCTTCGCCTGCTCCCGAACATACTTCTCTGCATCGACGCCCTTCCGCGTCAGCCCTCCCACAATTCTCGCCAACACGGCATCCTCACAGAAGGGTCTTTCCACATGCACCTCGCTTACCCCATCACTCCGCTTCGTAATTTTAAACGGCGTCCCCGCGCCCTCGCAGTTGAACTGGGCGTCTCCGCCGCGCAGCGAGCAGATCTTGGTTTTTGCACAGTCGCCCGTGCACTCCGTGACGTTGTAGCCTCGCGTGGTGCGCGACCACCACGCCTGGAACACCGAGTCGTCCTTCTCCATTTGCACGGTCACCTTGTGCCAGAACGCCGGGGTCATTTCCACCTTGGGGTCCGTGACCGGTGGGGTCAGCAGCGAGCCGTAGGCTTCCTTGGCCGAGTAGTACTTGACCCATTTGGGTGGGGTGTTGGGGGAATTGGTGCTGTTGATGTCGGCCGTGTACACGGTGTAGTCGAGCACGGCGAAGGTGACCGGGTCAATGTCGTAGATGCGGAAGGCCGGGGCGCGAGTCCGGGGTCATGGATGGGGTGACGTAGCCGATTGCGGTGGCCGAGTCGGCGGTGCGCGCGGTGTAGTTGGTGTACGAGATTTGGAAGAGGTCCGTGTGGGTGTGGCCGAAGAAGAGGGCGGCGATGCTGGCGCTGTAGCGGTTGATGATCTGGTCCAGGTAGTGCGAGTAGTCGTGCAGCGTGTCGGTGTTGCCGGTGGGGATGTGGGCGATCATCCACACGCGCTGGCCGGCGGTCTCGGCGGCTTGCAACTCGGAGATCAGCCACTGCAGCTGGTTGTCCGGGTCGTATTCCATTGGTTCCTGGAAGGCGTAGAAGTTGTATTTGTAGTAGAAGACGCTGTTGTAGGAGATGATGCGGAGGTTGCTATTGGGGTGCACAATGGAGTAGGACCCGTGTTTGGTGGTGGAGCTGGGTGAACCCTCGACGAGGCTGGCCCAGTCGCTGGCTAGGGCATCGTACGCCCATTGGGGGTTGTGGGAGGGTGGGACCTTGTCCGAAGGGAAGAGGTTGACCGGGGCTGTGTCGTGATTCCCCAGGGCCGCGTAGACGACGCCCAGTTTCCCCAGATTGGAGTAGGTGGAGTTGAAGCTCTGGAGAACTGAGCTCTGGTTCACCATCCAGATGTCGTGTGGTGGGACGTCCCCAGTGTAGATGGAAAACGTCGGGTTGAGGGCCGCGATGGCGTCCATCATCGAGTCCTCGAGGCGAAGTGGGGGATCGCAGTGATGGTCACCCCAGAGTCCGCACGGGTTCGAGGTGTTACCGGGGGCGTCCTCCGGGGTGAAACTACGACAGCAAATAGGCTTGGTGCATTGGGCATTGGCCCCGGGGGTGTACTGCAAGTCAACGTGCGTGTCACTGATGTGTGCGACCCGGATCGGAGACTGACCACTCGGGGGTGGACGAGTGGCCGAGGATTTGGCCACGGGGAAGGTGAGGTTGTATGGCCGAATGTCAGGGTACTCGCAAAGGCCGGCAATACTGGAGCAGAAGGTTTTCGATGTATGCGAGCCGACCTTCAGATTCTTCAGGGCGTAATAAACGGCCGTGCCTTCTTCTTTGATTGCGCCCTCACAGACATCGTTATCCTCGATCTGGCATGAGGTATTAACCGACGTCCTTTAGACTTTGTCTTGTGATGGATTCCATCGAAAGCATTTTACTTACCGCTGCCAGCTTACATGCGCCAGTTACAATATTTTCCAGTGCACTTTGACCCAAACCAGCGGCTAGTTTGAGTGCCCCCAGCAGGCCCTACGAGAGTCAGCCTATCTTGCTTTTCCATGGATAGTTTTGATATCTATCTGACATACCTCACAGCCAGCACAGGTGACTGCTCCTTTGATATCGTCCCAGATCGTGCCAGCCAAGTCGGCCTCGGGATTAGCATGAGTGCCAGCCACGGAGGCCAGGGCCGCAAGGAAGTAAGCTGGTCTCATGTCCCTAGTTTGATATGGGGTCAAGATAGCTAACCAAGCTGCAGCTTATCTTCCACTATCTCAAGTCCTGTCTACGAAACAGAGCAGAACCTGCCAGCTTTATAGCGGGGTATCTCCAGGACGTCCAGCCCCTGAGGCCGCGCTTCCCGTCGGAAGCCGACTGATCGTCCTGAAGAATGGGACGTTTCATTTTGGCTTATTCCCTCCGGGCAGGGAGCAGAGCAGAACTCAGGGCAATTGAGGGGAGACGAGCCCATGTGATGGCTTGGGTTGCATCGTGAGCAAGCGGAAGGCTCCGTAGCGTTCTCCGCACCCAGATTTAGTCACAAAAGCAACGCCTGACAGGGTGGAGAAGGGCCACGATGGTCACTAGTCCAGCGTTAGCGAGCGTTAGCGAAAGTATGGGGGACCATTGTACATGGACAGCGTTCCTTCATTCTTCAGGCGGTCGTAAGTGTCTCTGTGATATGAAGATCCTCATCAATCGGTCTAATAGAACCGATAGAACCACTCCTGATTTGAAGCCGAGGCATTGTCCCTGTCATGGCGCCAAGAGCGATTTCTCAGTTGTTCCACTTTTTCAACCCGTACTATTTTTGTCCGTCAGAGCAAATAAGTTTATAAGTTTATCAAATGTCAGTCGTTCCCAACTGCACGGTAGATCCTCCTGTATGAGATAGATTATATTCAGATCATTTCGAATTACGCGTGGAGCATGTATGGGAAGTGGACTTCGATCTTGATCTCAACAATTGTTATTGTAAGCGAGGACCTGTGACTTCCCTGTTCCGGTTAGCTTGGCTGTATCGTATCCTATTCCCTCAGACTCTGTACTGTACTCTGTAATCACCGTCCGTATTGTTCTTTTAGATATATACCACGAAGTTACAACCCCTTGGACCTCGGACCACCGGCGCCGGTTTTCTGGCAGTCATGTGACCCCATCTCACTTGATTCTTGGAAAATAAATTGTAAGGTCTCTGTTCCAGTCTGTCTTAATTTTCTTGACCATGGCCTTATCCGGCAATGGCCAATTGTTGCGTAAATCGACCAAGAGATGGCATCGAATAGACAAGCCAATTGGCTACAGTTCAGTACATGCACGCTGATTCCTACTTCGATATCTACAAGATTTGCTCCAGGGCACGTAAGGAAAAGGGATAGAAGCATGACCAGATTCTTGCGCGTGGTAAGTTAACCACTGCATGTCTCGATATAACCGCCCACACTTTGCCCGCTTCTTTTATTACTTAGGCCCCTACACTCATTGAGCCCGCTGGCAAAGTAGAGACTGTGCATCGGGCGAGCCCGGGATGTTGGATAGGGTACCCAAGAGGTGCTGGTTGGGATTCTGGCAAGCAGGGTCAAAGTAGGTTGTACACTGGACACCTGACGCTACCTGAATAGACCCGACCTCTGGGGGCATAGTGTTAGGATCGATAGGAACACATTGTTCTGTAGAAATAATTTGCTGAGATAGCCCTGCGAATTGGGGGTCAAGATAGACAATAGCCTATTCGAGATAGGTTAGACGCCCGCCCGTTTCTTTTCTCACCGATGCAGGGTGACGTACAATAGTAGACTGAGCGGCCACGGCGGTTGTGAATACAACGGAGAGGAATAGAGAGAATTGCATGGTTGCTAAGCGTAGGTTCTTTCTGTCTTACGTGCTGGTTGGTGATAGGCTTGATGTTTAGTGCCGCTTTGCTCGTATAATCGTGTGTTTGGCTATTCTTGCTATAAATGGGATGGGATTGTTAGAAAGTTTATTATGTATATGGCCAGATTAGATATACGAACCTTCCTAGAAGACGACAGCTGAAGGATTTAGTAGGGGTTGATTGATGTCAACTCAGAGGATGTAGTTATAACAATCATGTGAGACATGAGAAAGGAGAGCTGTTGTGATTAAATACCTTTTGTACCACCCTTGCAGTAGCAAGGGGTAACGCATACCCCACACCGCTCATCAAGCTGAAGAAGACGACAGTGTCTTAGAGTGTATCGCTGATCTAAGAACTTTCATGTCAGATCGATATTCCACATCTGCAGGTCAACCCACTCCGAGCTGAGCCGAATTCCTGGCTGGGTATATCGACGCTCTTTGTACAAGAAGGAATGAAATTGCACAACGTGGAAAAGTTATTGCAATCGCAGATACAAGGTGACGAGGATGAGGATCAACATCGATTTAAAATGGGATTTACTACTTTGTCTACTCCGTAGCTTCAGAGGATAACATCTAATTACGGAGTATAGAGTTGAGGTCACTTCAAGAACTGGCCATCTTGAAGAAAGATCCAGCCAAGCGTAAAGGTCAGCAACGAATGTGTGCATGGTGATCTGCCACTAGTACATGGGTACGTAACGCTAGTGGTTGCCTACATAATGTAGTATTGGCGATGCATGTCGCACAGCAACAGTCTATTCTTTAAAGGCTTGTTCAGGAAATGCCCCAGAGTTTGAAGATTTCTGTAGATCAAATAGGTAGGGCATACTAAGTAATTAGAGCTGTGGACGCTTCGCACCTTTCCGAATATCATTGGCCCGGGTGAAACGAGCTAGCCAATCAACTTTGGCTGATGAGTTATCCCAGCCCTAAATGTCTGGTTTTCAAGACGGATTAAATATTCTCAATTCATAAGCAAAATCGGATTGGCTTTAGCACTACTCCCACAAATTTAATAAGGTATTTCGAATTATCAATGTATTCTTAACTTCATGAGTGGGCAGGCCCTCGACCACAGAATACCAGGGAACTTGTGGCTCTCCGGAAGGCTGATTGGACATGGGTCTGGTGATTCTGGAACTACGACCTCTCAAGCCTTCTAGCTTCCTCCTTCATGTGCATCAAAAGGCCAGAGCGAATGCAGAACAGTGATGTGAAGCGGAGCGGCCCCCCAAAGGGAAAGCATCATCTTGGCCACGACACGCCGGAATTTCCACCTACCGTACTTTTGAGGATTACGGATAGTGGATTTTCCCGTTATCAAAAGAACAACGCTTAAGGTCGAGCTACCCGCTAGTACAGTCAGTTTATCAGAGGACATTTAATGATGGGAGACATCTCGTTATCGAATATTTGCAATTCTTCCCAGTCGCTAGTGAATATCGCGTGTATGAGTTTTGGTTCGGAGTGGCCTATTATCTTATTAAGAAATACCAACCTATAAGGAGATTATATGAACTTACAGCCAGTAGGTGGAGAGATTGCACAGTTTATTATGACCCAGTCTTGGATCATACCATCGGTAATCCACGAGTTGTAGTGACCCCCCTTGTAAAAACGTGATATATGGTCTTGGACGCGGTCCTCTTCGCGTAGTAATTCAACCGCCCATTTCTTTTCTGATATTAAAAAATCGACTCGACCACTTTTTGTTCTTGACCACTCCGAACATATCGGAACACCTTTGCCGGCGATTACGCCGAAACAGCGGTAATACTCGTCTTGATATGCGGCTTCGAAAGGTTTATATTGAGCCGCGCTGGTGAGAACCTTCCCATCAGCGGTATGACGCAGAGTGGCAGCGGAAAACTCTTTTAGGATGTCCACGCAAAGGTCTCGCAAATGAGCGTATCTCGGATTCAAGGGTAATCTCTTCCCGCCGAGGATCCATTCAACCCATCTAAAATCGATTAGCATGATATAGCCGAAGTATTCAGAGTCAATGCTTAGGAAGACTTGCTTCTCGTGCAGTCGAGATGGAAGTACATATTTTTCCTCGCCCATCATGTCTTCAGGTACCAAGATTTTGTGTAACCATCCGTTCACATAACACTGGTGCTTGGCCTATTTTAGGTCCGCGTCGCTAATATCACCCACAACGATGTCCTCTTGCTCGTTCACAGCGATGCTCCCCTGCTCTAGGACATGACGAAGAACGTTGGAGACTTCACTGTTCATCTCAGAACCCCTTGCAAGTGAGCGATAAATCGGTGTATACTCTAGGTACTTCCAAACATTGTTCTCATCTCGCAAGCTGTTAACGACATCGATGTCCGTGAGTGGCGATCTTTCGTGGTCATGCTTGATTCTGGCCTGGCAATACTAATACAAAGTCAGTTAATCGAGCCTGTCTATGGAAGCGTAATTTAGCTGGAGTTGGGGGGTGGGGAAGGGTGGAAAAATGCACGTGGTGGAAGAAATGTAATAACGACTCGAGACCACCGGGGTACAGGTGCAGATGGTTAGGCCGCAACTCCATGCACATTCGTCTACCGAGATAGTTGGCATTTCAGTTGAACTGATAAGAATAGTCGCAACTGTGATAGCATTGCGATACCGAGGAACCATATTTATGAGTCTCGTGTTGATGAGCTGCTTGAATAGACATTAAAGAACAAAGGGGAAACTGGGATGGAAGCAGTTAGCTCACAGCAGCTGCCCGTGTGAAACAAGAAATCTGGTACCTATGTCACTATCACATCAGTGATCGTGACCCGTGGTAAGGATAATAAAAGAATAGCATTAGCATAGGAAATCCGCCTTCCACTGAAAACACCTGTTACGTTGCTTGCAATACCCTGTTAACTTGTATGGGTCACAGTAGCCACATCGATTTTCCATACGAATTTGCACAAACCCCGATAACCTGGGGTTTGTATACATAAATTCAGTGGTCTATATAAACAAGTAGCAGAGTATTGAAAATCTTATTTTAATATTCTCGTTATCTATTTAGATCAAGACACGTGATTATATCTCCAAGGTGAAGCTTTGTTTTTCCTAAAACGGTAATAAGCAAAGACGGTGGGTAATTTGGCCAATAAGAGCGCATATCGAGTGCAGGATGTATCCTTAGTTTGATCACAGTGGAAGCACAGAAAACTAAAACTGGATATCGCTCGATCTTGGTGCTGAAAGCCTTATAAGTTATAGCTGGGTAGCTTCAATAACACCTCATCGCTAGGGGTGCAGAATATGATATTACAGGAAGACAGATCTTGGGGTTTGCAGTGCAGTAAATGACTATAATAGCGGTCATTTTTGGCCTCATTTTCACAGGTCCTCCCATTCTAGTTGTGATTTCTTATCCTGGTTGGGGGCGGAAGCCGATAAGAACCCCATCGTTACGGATTGGGTTGCATGCATGCGAGGGATGAAGCGAAAATAAATTAAACAAAAAAAAAAGAAAAAAGGTTGGCTGAGTCAGGAGGTACGAGCTGACATGAGGTTAAAAAAAAGAAAGGAAAGGAAAGGATACCGGAAGCAGAACGGAAAGTTCCCGCAGTCAAGTACATACCTAACACAGTACCTTCCAAGGACAAGATGTACCTTCTTTTCTTACGTGGCTGACTGTCCGCGCAACATCGGCTGCTTCCCTTGACTCTCTACAGAGTATAAGGAAGAACTTCAGTTTACCAGTCCAAGTTTCTCAAAAGATCCATGGCGATTTGGAATTCCACTCATCGTCACCTTCGTGAGGAGGCTGTAAACTATTGAAGACAAATAAAAATACGCAGGATCTCATCCCTTGGGTGAACAAGACCCACGCCGAACCACACAATTTCTTTTCTCCGCTTTCTCCTCATCAACTTTCTTCCTCCTTCTCTGACGTTGTCTCTTGCAAATTCTCGCTGTCTTACAACTGCTCGATAGACCCTTCTTTGGGCGGATTTTCTCGGGTAAATTGACCTCTATTAATTAATCTTGCCAAGTTCAATAGCAACTCATCCAGTCTTTCCAGCCTCCGCCCCTCCAACAAGCTTCCCAGTCTGCGTGTCACACACACACAACGCTCTTAGTTTGTACTCGGTCAATTTTTTCGTCATCGGGGATGCCGTCTTTCTTTTCTCGATTCCTCCGCATTCGGTGACCATGGAGCTGTTTCAACCTCGAGAACTAACGCTTATTTCTTTGTCAAATTCTCTTGCGATAGGTTCTGAATGGTCGTGAAACGCTCTTGGGTTGTTACTCTGCGATCTCCGGAGTTCACACGAGGCTTCGTGAGCTGTGGTCGCGGTCGCTCACCATGGAGGACCGCAGACCGGAAGTGCTGGTCGTCTCCATTGTCTTCTTCGTCATCGCCTCTGTCTTTGTGGCACTGCGCTTCGTCTCGCGGGTTTTCATCGTTAAGAGAGTCGGACTACATGACTATTTGATGCTGTTGGCATGGGTATGTCTGGCGTCTCGCCCGTCGGTTGCATACGAATGTTGGAGTTCGAGCGTCGGCGCGTGGGGAAAAAGAACAGATGAACGGTGAAAACAATGACTGACGTTACACAGGTCATCGATTTTGGCTTCTCATTCTCCCTCTTCTATGCCACGAGCAAAGGTCTGGGCCTCCATGATGACGACATAGCGCTTAGTGACCGGTACAGCCTCAATCGAGCCAATTATGCATTCACTGTGCTATATGTGAGTTGTCAGCTCAGGTCCGGTTGGCTCCGATTGCTGATTGAATAGAACCCCGCGTTGATGGCGGTCAAAACCTCCATCTTAGTCTTCTACCTCACTCTAACCCAAGGGGAAAGGGTGTTCCGTTGCGCAAATTATGTGACTCTTTTCGTCGTAAATGCCGCCGGATTGGCGCTCACACTGGTCAACGTCTTTCAATGTCGTCCCGTTGGGGCGGCCTTTTCCTATCCCCTGGCTCCGAATGCGCACTGTACCGATATCCTCACTCTATACCTTTCTTCCTCTCCGGTGAACATCATTACCGACCTAGCCATTCTCTTCTTGCCGAACCCCATCTTAACTCAAATGCGTCTTCCGCGGAAACAGAAAATCATTCTTGTCATCACCTTTAGTTTTGGTTTCTTCGTTGCAGTAGTTGATGTTATCCGCATTGCCTACCTTCAAAATGCTGCTACATCGCGCCAAATGTTACTGAGAGAGATCCACCTGCAGGACGCTAGCGGTGACGACCTAAATTGTATGTGTGACATGGCTTTATCCCCCAACCAGCTATTGAACGTCCCATGCTGACCTGACAAGGGTATGCTTCTCTTTCGTTCATGTGGTCGGTGGTTGAGGTCAACGTGTCCGTCATGTGCGCCTGTGTGCCTAGTCTCAAGCCTCTTGTAGCGCGAATCATCCCAAAGATGATTCGGGACACGGACGATAGCACGACCGTGCCAGATGCCCCCACGGTTGGGCCCCTGGATATCCCGGATATTCCAGATGTTGCTGAGCCTGCGCCACTTCCAACTCTCCCAGGTCCCAACATGCGACGACGCTCGCAGTCCGCTAACCACAATAAAACCTCTCCCTCAGCCAGTGGCAGCAGTGCCAGTCGGAGAGAAGCGGACGGTTCAGTAGATCTCAGAGAGTTCCTGATGGCCAGTGACCCGCCTCAAGATGCGGAAGCGAATACAACCGTCACCACCTCGTACCTGCCTAGTATCACCTTTTTCGACTTTGTCAACATGAAGAAGCCGGCGAATATGCTGAAGCTAAGCAATAAGGAATCCATCGCGCCGATCTCCCTAACCACGATCTTGTTTTTCTTGTGGGGATTCGCTTACGGGTTGCTGGATATTCTCAACAGTCAGTTCCAGGAAATTGTTCGTTTAGATTCCTGGCGATCGTTGGGCCTGAACGCTGTTTACTTCGGGGGGTATTTCATAGGCCCACCGCTGGTGGGCCGCACGGTGCTGAAACATTGGGGGTTCAAATCGACTTTCATCACAGGCCTGTGTATTTACGGTTGCGGCACTTTGATATTTTGGCCCTCGGCTGTCCTGACTTCGTATTCTGCCTTCCTCGTCTCTAACTTCATCGTCGGCTTTGGATTGGCAGTATTGGAAACCGCTGCCAACCCATTCATAGCGCTGTGTGGGCCCCTAGAGAATTCGGAGATCCGATTGAACATCTCGCAGGCGTCCAAGCGGTAGGAAGCGTAGTTTCGCCGCTGTTAGCGAAGAAAGTCCTTTTCAAAAAGGTAACCGACGTTTCTTCTCTGGTTGATGTTCAATGGACGTATCTTGGCATTGCGTTGTTTGACGTGCTTCTGGCTGTGGCTTTTTATTACCTACCAATTCCAGAGGCGTCAGATGAGGATCTTCAAGAGCTAGCAAACCGGCGTCGGAGCGACAACATGACCCTAGTCGCCGGGATTCCGGTGGTCTGGTTGACCCTAGGACTTGGGGTGTTTTCACAATTCTTCTACGTCGCCGGACAGGAAATAATCTCGCAAAGCTTCACTGTTTTCGTCGAAGATGCTTACCCCAAGTAAGTTGACAGTTCACTTCGATATTCCTGGACGTTTACTTATTTGAAGCACAGTTCACGCCTTAGTTCCTTCGATTATCTGACCATCGCCCATTCTATCTTTGCGGTTGGTCGTTTCCTTGCCGCTTTTCTGCAATGGTTCTTAAAGCCACGGTGGATTCTGCTTATATCGTACATTGGAATGATAGTATTCTCCATACTATGCATGAAAACGACGGGAATTGCGGCGGTTACCATGGCTCTCATGGTCTACCTTTTTGAAAGTGGTGCATTTAGCATTATATTCGCCATCTCTCTCCGCGGCACAGGCCAACACACAAAGACCGCTGCAACGCTTCTGACGACGGCGATTAGCGGAGGTGCTTGCTTTCCGTTCGCACAACATGCAGCCAGCCTCGCTGGGGGCATGTCATTCTCGTACAGTGTCCTCGTTGCTGTCTTCTGCGCTGGTGCCATCTTTCCAGTGTACTTGAACCTAGTCCCTGCTGCAAAGAAGCAGGTTGACCCAGTACCAAACGAACACCTCCGCCGCCCACGTCGCCACCGCTCTAGGCCCAATATTGTCCAGCGCGAGAAGGAAAACCCTTCTGTGGGCGGAGTCTATTCACGACGGCGAAGCGTCCTGTCGGACCTGCTGCCCGCGGTCACCCTTTCTGACCAATCGTCATCTCAGCCCGATCTGGCTAATAATGGGCGACGCCGTTCAGCTGGCCACGGCGGCCTTCAACATGACTTGGCCCCCTGGCCCGAATCGTAATGCCAATCTCGCTTTCGACTGTATTTTTCTTTGTGTTTCTTCTTTTATGATACCCTATTTTGCGATGTTATCATTTTAACTGACGGTTATAGTTTGCTCTTGTTTTCTTAGTACAGCGAGGCGTTGAGGGAAAAGAAAGCTCGGGGTATTCTTATGTAGGGTACCTCTTGAGCTAGACCAATGCATGTACCGGTTGACTGGGCCGGTATGTGGAGTAATCCTTCGATAGTTGTATATGGCCAAAGTCTTTGAGTAATGCTATAGATTCCTCTATGAATGGGGTTCCAACAGATGAAGTATATATCATACAGTGGGAGCAACAACGGACGGGCAAAGAATTCTCGTGTATATAAAGAGTTACGTGACCCTAGAGCTTTTGAATATGAATATGTGAATTAATGGATACTCTAGTTAAGTTTATTACGTATTAGATCGTATAATATCGCGGCATGTTCTTCACGTAACTAATGCTCACCCAGGCCATTTTCGAGACAGATCAAAAACGCTTCAGGATGGTCTCGTTTCCCTGGTTGCTTGGCGAACCGCCTGCTGGGCAAGATCTCGAAGACTAGAGATAAATCCAGTGATACCTTCCAGATGGGCAGCTTTATCAGCTCGAGAAATTTGTCTCAGGAAGACCCGTTCAGTTGTGTGCTCTGTTACTGTCAGGAGTTGCGTATCACTCGCCGCGCTCTCAGAACGTGGATTCTCCAGCAGGTTGCAGAATATCGTGAGCATCGCTGACATGGGATAGAAAAGGAGTGTCCTAGATGACAAACAGAGGGTTAGAAGAATGCTGTGTGTAGTTGGTATAATAAGGACAAAAGCCAAGTTCTGTACATGTAGGTCTCTTACCAAAAGCTCCCTACACTCACGAGCGATTCGGAATAATGCAGAAATAGTAAAAGGGACCGACTAGCTTCCACGGATAAAGTCAGGCTTAAGCGTAGTCCGTCCATCATGCCTGCCGGTGTGGAAGTCGAACGCCACGCTTCGCATCGACTTCCGGCTAGGTGGATTATGTTAACGCAGAAGTAGTAGTTGAGATGTGTCAGCACGAGATACATGGTGTCAACTCGCTGATCTTCGGAGGTTTCTTTTGCGAATGATAGTCTAGGTCTTAGGTTTGAGGGCATGGACATTCTCCAGAGTTCTAGCTCTTCGTCTAGTTCCCGAATTGATCGGATGACTTCAGCGTCGTTTTTCTGTAGTCCACGGTGGGAGTAGAGAGCGGTGAAAATTCGGGACTTGACCATGCTGAGCCGTAGATCGATTGGAAACAGAAGGCCGTGTGCATTTTCCATCGCAGAATATGTCATCCCAGACTGCAGTTTCTCAGCATAACCGGGTGGTAGTTGAAGATCACAATCTTCATCCCTAAGGCAGTGGCTCTGCCCAGTACGCAGCGAAAGATCCTTGTCAGGGGCATAACAGAGCCAGAAAAGGTCGCGAAGGTGTTTTCTAGTCTCTTTGTCTCTGGAACCACTGACGGCAGGTTCCGGCATCGCGCCTGGATCTCCCATTGTGTGAGCTCCCAGAGCGATGATGAAACGTGATGAGATCGAATTATAGTTTGTTGCTGTTTGCAATTCACCGGTGAGTATCCCTAATATTGACTGGGGATCGATCAAGACGAATGGATTAGCGCAGGTTCCTAGTTTGAAGTTTGAAGCTTCCTCTTTGAAAGATAAGAGAGCAACATAGAATGGATGACCGTACCAGTAGAAGAGTTGTCTGCAATGCATCCAAGTTGAGCGGTTCTTGAAGCAAGGATGGCAAAAGAGCCTGGGCCTTCATGGCATACTCGTCTCGAGGGATAGGAGGCGGCTTAGGGGCTGTACAACGAGTGGCAAGATGATCTAAACTAGAAATCAACGCGAGAAAAGCAAATATGCATGCTCTTGAACTAGGAGAATGGACTTTTGTATCGTGGCTAGGCGGCGAATAGGCTGCACGTATCGTCTGGTAGAAGAGTGATGAGTTGATGACAGGAAAGATTGCGTGGATGGCCGATGAAGTGTACACGTCCAGATACCGCTTCAGTACCGTCCGCGCGGGAAGCCCAGAAGGTGTTGACACGACCTCATGGACACCATCTAGGTCGGGGGGCGTAGAAGATAGGGGTGGCTTCTCCCATGGAGCATGGCAAAGGTTTGGAAGAGGGATAACAGTGCCGGTTCTTGACTCAATCCAGCGAAGACCCTCAGGAAGAAGACTCGGTACTCCTACCTGCGGAGCAATATTTCCAATCTTCCAACCTGCAAAGTGAATGATTCTGGGGGACGGCAGTAGCGGGTATGCTTGCTCTAGTTGGACAGACTGTTTTTCGGGTGGTCTTTCTTCATTAGCAAGTAAGTAGGCGGTCCAATGTATGAAAGGATAAGACGAAATGAAAAAGGTGATGGGACAAGAAAGTACAAACCTATGGCTGCAGCTTCTGCCCTGCGTTCGTCGATGCGTCGAATGCGGTCGATCAAGCTAATTCTTTGGCTACTTTGAAGAATTAGTTTTCAGGTTTATTGTGATTAATTGTCAAGGAGATCGAACGAGGTTGAGAAGATACGGGCCTATCTATACCTTCCATCCTGACGTCGTCTCTTCGGACGCAAATCTGACGAAAATGTGCAGTCCATATCGTGGTGGATGCACCAGTTACATTGGGAGCCAACGCGGTCACATTTGATCTGATTCGAGGCCGTTGTAAACCGTGGCTGCCGATGCTAAGAAGTATATCGTGTAGATTGGATGGATGTACCTTTCGTTTGTAGCACGCATCACAGGCCGTTACCCTTCTGGGAACTGGGTCCTTGGACATATCGAACGGATTTACTTGGTTGGTTGATTTTATTGGACTTAACACTGAGACAATTGCCAAAAAGTTTTTGAATTAAGCAGGAAAAGTATCCTAGAGGCTTCAATGGCGTTGGACCGGAATTGATACAGAGCCGCTTAGCTAATCATCTCCGAGCAGCTAACGTGACCGTTCGGAGACTGCCTTTGACGAAGAACGCTCTGGCAAATTGTTCTACACGAGTGGATAGCATTGCAGTCTAATATATCCACATGGGATCAATTCTTGTAGACAACATGGGCCGCTCTGTCTATATCTGGGCTTCTTGTACCAGTTGACGTGCTTCCCCAATTGGGTCTGACGGCCAAGTGAAGGCGAACATATCCTCAGGGACCTCCGCGTCAGCCACATAGGAGCGGAGCTCGTCCAACATCTCCGCCCGTCGCTCATCGTGGGTTTTAGACATCATCATCACGGTCACTGCGTGCTTATACCGGATCTTGTTGTATAATTCCAGACGTTGCGGGATTTGTTCTATGGTCATGTCCTCCGTCATCACTCCACCAAGCGCCGCCGCATCTTCGAATGCTTGAGCGGCGCCTTGTCCTTGGTCTGCGGTGCACTCAATCAGTATACAAAAGTGGAGCGCGAGGAAAATCTAATTACAAGCATGTAAGGGTTACTTACGAGGTAACATGGGATGCGCGGCATCTCCAATCAAAGCCACCTTGCCTCTGACGAACGTGGGAGCTGGACTGCGCGAAGCCAGGCTCCACAGCTTCAGATCTTCCGCGAGACGACACATCTCCTGAAGCTCTTCGCCAAAGTCCTGATAGGTCTCTATCAACTGGCTCAAGCTGCCCCCATCAAGCCACGATGAATCTCTGGCGTTCGTCTCTTTGCCCGCAGGGTGGATGCCCGCCACGTTCAGCAGCTGGCCACCCCGACAGGGATAAACCACGATGCGTCGGTCATGCGCCGCGAAGGCATGCACGCCATCAATACCAGTCTTTGCCACAAGCGCAGCAGTTAGTGGATTGGCCTGTATCTTTTCCATGGGCACCAAGAAACGAAAGCAATTCTGGCCGGTACTCTGACGTCCTTGGTTTTCTCCGACGATGGCGTGAACGGTGCGGGACTGGCAACATTGGAGACATTTAGTAACAGCTAGGTTGTGTAAGTTATGATGCCTGAAGGACAACATACATGGATACCGTCAGCCCCAACAACTAGGTCAGCGACATATATGGTACCATCCTCGAGGACTACTTTGCCGGCCTCTGCATCCTGTGGGCAAAAAAATATGAGATCACTGAGCGGCCACCTGGTAGAACCAGGACCATAATGGGTGCGTAATGACGTACCACTGATAATACACGCGAAGAGAGGCGGATGTTGATTTTGCGGCCATTGACCTCGTTGGTGGCTGCGGCGCGAAGGGCATTATGCAGATCAACTCTATGGGTCAACAGCCACTCATCCGTCGTATTTAGGGCTATCTGACGCTCTTTTGTCACCTAGCCTTCTTGTTAGTTCATAGCTAAGCCAGCGAAGACAGACATACAAGCAGCAACTCACAATTGGGGTCCAGACGAGATTCCCAGAGGCATCCCACACTTGTAATCTGTTGCAGTGAACGGGGCGTAAACTTTCCAAATCACACCCCCAGGCCTTCAGAATTCGGGTGGCATTGGGCGCCACATGGATAGCAGCGCCAACTTCGTTCAGAAAACCCGACTGCTCAATAACCTACGAACAGGATCAGTCAACCCCACTTTCCAAGATAACGCAGGGTAGGATACACAGCAGGATAGGGATCATCAGACCTGGACCTCATGGCCTGCACGGCTCAACGAAATTGCAGCACCCAGGCCAGCGAGACCGGCGCCAACAACGACTACTTTGATGGGCATGTTGATCGTGGATATGCGCAATACCAAGATTCTAAGCACACAATCGAATGATCAAGGAAAAACAGAGGGTTTGAAGACTTGGATACAACCCTTTTTCGCGACCTGAGAGGACAATCTCGAGAACTTTGGCATCTCATAAACGAATCTTAGGCGCATTTATAGTTTCTGGAAGCGACAAAGACTAGGCATAGAGCATGAATTTCTTCTCCACTCTGATCGATTGACGATGATCATCGTCTCAGGGTAGGGTTTCTCGTTTGAACTTTTGCATTACATTGCCCATGGCCCAATCTAGGAAGGACATGGGCACGCTATGGCTGAAAGGTATTAGCAGGTCAGGGGACATATATTCTACTCCATAGTATGCCCTGGTATTCCGTTCTTTTCTTCGCTATACAATTCCGGCTCCTTGCCTGACGTCGGATTACCGGCAAGCAATGGGTCCTTTCCTCGTCGTCAGTAGCTTCACTAACGAGACGATCTTGGGTCGCTTAGCATGCAGTCCGACTAGCTCATGCCACCCGCTTAGCTAATTTGCTCCGATTAGCTAATCGGACAGGGAGGTTGCCCTAAGAAAACATCCTCAGTTGATTAGACACAATGGGTCCAACAGCAATCATGGCCTGGGCTCATGCTGGGGGGTGAAGGGGAACCAAATGAGGCGCAAAATAAGGATAGAACCTACAGCTCGGCGAATTATTCGCTCGGATGTCGGACGTCGGTCTATCGATGGCAAATCCATGGCTTATATTAGGGGGAAAGGCCTCTATGGATTCCCCTGGTCCTGTGGGTGCTTTTCTTTCATTTTTCTTCTTTAACCTCAATATCATTGTATCTTAAGAACTCAATCGTTATTCACTCAAGGCTTCTTGCCTTTCTGTTTGACTGGAAGACCCAATATCATCATCAATCATACTGACAACATCCCAATCCTCCAGCTAGCGACATGCAGCTGACAAAATCATTTTTCGGCGCGCTAGCAGGAGCGTTTATTTCTCTCCAGCTGCTGTTTCTCGCGAACATGTGCTATTTGTATGGTACCGCCTATCATGACTCGATTCGATTCAGCACGATGAAGCTTTTGTTTGTGGATTATGATCAGGACGTGATCGGCCAGTCCGTCATGACAGCGTACGATCAACTGAAAAGCCCGTCATTTCCAACCGTTCAGCGACATTCCATAACCGAATACCCCACGGAGCAGGACGTGCGAAATGCTGTTTGCAAAGGCCACTACTGGGGTGCAATATATTCCAAAGCGAATGCTTCCGCCCGCTTAGCCACGGCACTCTCTTCCGCAGAAGCTGCTAGGGAGTATAATAACTCTCAGGCACTGACCTACATCTGGAATGGAGCTAAATACTCCGCCTATGCCCAAAGCGTGTATTCGATGCTGGTACAGCTCGTCCAGGGCACTGCCGGCGTGTATGACCAGGTGAATGGAACTACGATATTATCCACCGCCAATGTCTCCGACCCATACATCGCCAAAACTGTGCTGAACCCTATCTCAAGCTCTTCAATTGACCTCCGGCCAATGGCTCAAGGGGTCCGATTCTACTACAATACTGTTTCCATGGTCATGCCCATCCTGCAACAGTTCTTTTTTCTCATGGCGCTCAATGCTATCTCCGCACAGTTCAAACTCTTCTCCAGCCTATCACTAAAACAGAACATCGCCCTCCGACTGATTATCTCCATTTGCTATACCTTCATCGCCTCCCTATGCATGAGTGGTTACATATGGGCCTTCCGGGAGGATTGGAACGCCACGTCCGATCAATTTGGGCTGACATGGATGGCGATCTGGCTAGTCATGCACCTAAACTTCCTCATCATCGACGCAGCCACGGCATTCATTCCGATGCAGTTCATGTCCTTCTTCATGTTAACCTGGATCATCCTCAATGTCTCAAGTAGTATCGGCCCTTTTGAGCTCTCGCCAGGGTTCTACCGGTTGGGCTATGTGTTCCCTGCCCACGAACTCTATGAGATTCTGCTTCAGATTTGGACCGATGGCTGCAACCCGCACTTATACCGTGCCCTTCCAATTCTATGGTCCGAGTGGGTTGTTGCTCTTGGCCTTTCTTTTCTTGGAATGAGAAAGCGCACTAAGCCGGCGGCCCCTGTCCAAGCGACGAGTCAAACAGCGAAGGAGGATATGGCCTGACTAATGAACACTTTCTTTATTTCTTTCTTGTCTTGCTCTTTTTCTCCAGTTCCAACTTATATAGTTATAGAGAAGTAATGTATACCTTGGTCGGGTCCCGTTTAGGACAAAACAGACACACCAGAAAAGTTCTAGCCACCCTAATCGAATCTTATGCAATATTGCTAGCTTAATTATAAGCAAATGCAATACACATATATTAAGAGATGTTTAATCGTGTTTGATTGGTTTAAGAAGTATTGAGTAAAACGGCCTTACTTCTGTTAATGAAAGATTTATTTGTACAAAAGAGTTAAGGTGCAGTGTAGTACCATTACCCTAGGGAAGACTACAAGACTGCAAGACTGAACGATTGTGATACTTTCATACGAGAATCGGATAGGAAAGATTTTGAGTATAATAATATTTATTCATAAATCATGATTATGTGCAAGGCATGAAACCATGTCTAGAATCATAATAGGTAAAAAAAAGGCAAGAACACCGGCGCCTCTATCGACCAACCGCGCTTAAACAGGCAAAAGAACCAAAATCATCATCATAAACAAGAGGTATCAATGGAAGCGTGAATCAAAAAAGGCTGACTTAAGGAAAAAAACATTCGCAGAATGTTTACCACCAGTCACCCTGGTCCTTCATGGCAGCAGCAACCTTGGTGAAACCAGCAATGTTGCTACCGGTGACGAGGGAAGGAAGGACGCCCTCAGCAGGAGTAGCGTACTCGATAGCAGTCTCGAGACCGTTCTTGAAGCAGTCCTCCATGATACCCTTGAGGCGGGCATCGACCTCCTCGGAGGTCCAGTTGATGCGAGCAGAGTTCTGGGCCATCTCGAGACCGGAAACGGCGACACCACCGGCGTTGGCAGCCTTACCGGGAGCGTACCAGATGGCGGCAGCACCCTTGTTGGCCTCACGGTGGGCCTCGAAGATGTCGATGGCGTCCTGGGTGGAGCCCATGTTGGAACCTTCGGCGATGAACTTGCAGCCAGCGTCGATGAGGGCCTGGGCCTCCTCGCCGGAGACTTCGTTCTGGGTAGCGGAGGGGAGAGCGATGTCGACCTTGCCGACGTGAGTCCAGGGACGGGCACCAGGGATGTACTTGAACTTGGAAGCAAAGGCCTCAGTGTTGGCAATCTCGGAGATCTGCTTGCGGTCGACCTTGATCTGGGCGATGGTGTTGATCTCCTCAGCGGTGAAGCTACCCTCACCGTTGACGATCAGGGAACCCTTGCTGTCGGAGAGAGAGACGACGGAACCGCCGAGCTCAATGACCTTGAGAGCGGCGTACTGGGCGACGTTACCGGAACCAGAGATGGCGACGCGCTTGCCGGCGAAAGACTCCTTGCCGTCGGTAGCGTGCTTGATCATGTGCTCAACGTAGTAGACAACACCGTAGCCAGTGGCCTCGGGACGGATCAGAGAACCACCCCAGCTGCCACCCTTACCGGTGAGGACACCCTCCCACTGGTTGCGGATCTTGCGGTACTGGCCGAAGAGGAAACCGACCTCACGGCCGGTGACACCGATATCACCAGCGGGGACGTCAGTGTCGGCACCGATGTGCTTGCAGAGCTCGGTCATGAAGGAAACACAGAAGCGGCGGATTTCGTTGTCGGACTTGCCCTTGGGGTCGAAGTCGGAACCACCCTTACCACCACCCATGTTCAGACCGGTCAGAGCATTCTTGAAGATCTGCTCGAAACCCAAGAACTTGAGGATAGAAAGGTTGACGGAGGGGTGGAAACGAAGACCACCCTTGTAGGGACCGAGAGCGGAGTTGAACTGAACACGGAAACCACGGTTCACCTGAACCTGGTGGTTGTCATCTTCCCAGACGACACGGAACTGGATGACACGCTCGGGAACGGAGACAACGGCGAGCGCCTTGCGGTACTCAGGGTTCTTCTGGAAAAGAGTGGAGTTCTCAAGGGTCGAGGCAAGCTCTGGAAAATTTTGTTAGACACAATCCGACAAAGATCTATATATATATAGATATAAAAAGATCAACGAAAGATAAAGTTCAAATTACATACCTTGTAAGCCTGCTCGAACTCGGGCTCAATGGGAAGGTTGGACATCTTGAATTTGCTTTGGGTCTCTTTTGAGAAAATGTGTAAAAGGTGAAGGTGAGGGGCTTATCAAGTATCGATAAGAAGCCGGTGGCAAAAAGTGTCAATTGACCGAAGTCAAGACGATTCAAGGATGTTTAATAATAAGAGAGAGAGAGAGATGTCTGGAGCAGTGAAGAAGAAAGAGAAGAGACTTGAGGCGAGAAATGGAAGGGAATTTATGTCCGGACAGATGACAGCGGAGGGCGGCGAGCACTGAGCCGGAGTCGGACGAGAAAGAGGGTGGGAATGGCCGACGGGGGAGGACAGTAGGAGTGGAGGTGGGCCGTTCGAGTCGATGATTCGTTGAATGAATTAAGGTAGGGGACTAGGCGGCTAAGCGGAAGGCCGGCACCACTGCACTGGCTAACGTCCGAACTTCGGGTGTGTTATTCGATACTTTAAGGTCATCATAATCTGCCCGTTATCTATCGGCGGAAACCCGCCCCCCGCCAGTCCGCTTTTGGTTCCGGGAAATCCTCGTGGCTCGAAATTTTTTAGATGATTCTTTTATGGAACCATATCGGGAGAAGACGTCGGGCATCGAGACCATGTTAGCATACTCTATTCCCCTAGGACCGTGAACGTCTGGAATCCTCATGGTTGACCTCTCGGTCGGTACATTGTACTGTGTACTGTCCTATGTTCATTGCCAAGACCGGCCAATCCTCTCCCGATTCAATGTGCCGGCTCACGTGAATCCCGCTATTCCTCATTCGAGC